AATATCAGTTTAGTTGCCCGGTCTAAAAGAAAGAAAAAAAAACTCAGAAAACAGTAACAAATGAAACATCTTTGGATAATCAAATCATGTTTTAACACTTAGTGTTTTGTAGAACATCAAAGACAGTGTCATATTAATTTGCTGACTGAGGCTGCTGTTAGAAGTGCTAGCAGCATCAGGTTCACAGGTTCTGCCTGTGCAGAATGTGGCTGCACAGGCAGAGCGCTTTGGATGTGTGTTTATATGTTAGTTTACGCTGACATCAAAGCAATGCAGAACTGTGTTGTCCACGAGAGAGTGAGAGAATGTCTCGCTCCGACTAGCATCTAGATGACTAGTTGTTCAAATTCGTATTATCAGCAGATCCAATGATAATCAAACCAACAAAGTTTTCATCTAACAGCATGTCTCTCTGTGTAGCTAAAGCTCAAAATGCTGTTTTCCTTGCAGCTGAGCCAATGCAAAAAATAAATAAATAAATAATTGTTACTGCAAGTTTTGTATTACTTGTTTAAACTCTGCCTGAATCTGCTAGGATCAACTTGTTGTATTTGTGGCATTTAAAATAAGTGTTGCCAACAGGGGAGTTGCACCCTCTGGTGGACAAACTATCCAACATAAACACTTAAAATATGGTTGAGGGGTGTTTCTCCTGTCTCTTCTTTACTTTTTAAATTTGTCAGCCTTTGTAAATTCATATGCGGCCAATCTTGTACCCAACATTATATCCAGCTGATGCCACTCAGCATTGACAGAATAACCCTGAACATTACTTTTTTTCTCTCTCTCTTTTGATTTCTTAGGCTAACGGAAACTGGCAGGGTCGAAACTCACCCCCGTCTGGCACCTCGCCTCATAGCGACCAGTCAGAAAACTCTGACTGATGGCCCCACCCACTGACACAGAACGACAGCGACGGAAAGATTGATGACGGAAAAAGACCGAAAGAATGATATCGCACTTCCCACTTGGCTGCAGTTGTTTTTGTATATTGTTTGTTTGGTTTGGTTATTTTAAGTGTAAGTTGTCTTTTTTTCTTCTTCTTTTTTTCTTCTTTTCTTAGCGCTCAGCGTTGGTCATTATGTTTGTCTGATTAGCTGAGTGCACAGATGATAGAGTGAACGTGTGTCGTGTGCATGCTGGCGTGGTTTTCTCATTGGGGTTGTAGGGTTTATTTTCCACTACTTTTGACATGTTACTGAGATCTGTTTGTGGTTGGGAGGGGGGGGAAATGCGACTGTATCATGATTGTTTTAACACACTATATCATTATTATTAATATTATTACTTTCAATATTAGTGCTACAGCTATTTTCTTTTAACAGTTCATAAAGAGAGATAGCATTTAGTGAATGAGAGGGCAATAGAGAAAAATCCAAAGACTCCGTGTGTTTGTTTCTCTGTTTTGTTTTGTTTTCTACTGGGCTTATGTGTCCATGTAAAGTGAATGAGGTGTGCCTGAGTCCATATTAATGGTTTGAATGAGTGTATCAACAGTGCTGTCTTTTTTTCTGTACAGTGAAACACCTGTATCCTCTCTCTACCTCTTTTACAATAAAGACTCTCTGTATTCACAAGCAGCTGGAGATCGGTCACATTCATGGGGTCATAATGAATAAACTAAAAGACTAGGGGACAGTATAATGGGCTACTTTATTCAAGACACCAACAGTAACTGATTCATTAGCAGCACTCTCACACACACA